ACATGCCCTCCATAATACCCACCACCAGGTTCACCCAACCTCCCACCCCCTCTCCCCTCCAAAACCCTCAGTTTGTTTCCCAGAGTCTACAGTCTCTCATGTACTTCTTTTCAAATGTTTTTAGTGATTGCCTACAGATTTCAGTACAGTTTCTACCATTTCATCTGTAGCACAGGTACCTTGTAACAGAGTATTCCCAATTCCTTCCTCCCATCCCTTATGATATTACTGTCATTCATTGCACTCATCTGTACCTTGTAAACATCATTTGTTCCAATCAGAGAATGTCCTTGAACTGCTGTTGGACTGCCATCTTGGGTTCCCTTTTAATGTATCCAGGATTAGATCCACTGGTTTCTAATTTTCACATCTTCCTCAATATTGGATTACTTGCCTCTTTTTCTAAATCCAACACATTGAATTTTTTAAAAAAATATTTATTTATTTATTTTAAAGAGAGTGAATTGGGGGGAGGCAGAGGGAGAAAGAAAATGAGAATCTCAAACAGGATCCATGCTCAGCACACAGCCCAAAGCAGGGGCTTTGTTGCATGACCCTGAGGTCATGACCTGAGGCAAAATCAAGAGTCAGAAGCTTAACTGACTAAACCACCCAGGTGTCCCCATATTTAATGTTTTTAAGAGTGAGTGTGTGCTGCTCAGTATTAGACATCTATTTATTAGATAAATAAATAAATACATTAGAACCACGCTAGGTGACTTAGTTTTAAAACTTTATATACATAAAGGAAATTTTTAAAAATTGTAGGAAAAACACTCAAGATTGATGTTTGTAAAGTAAAATTTCTGAGCTTACATATCTGAAGTTGTCCTGATTAACACTGAGTATTGAAGAGCTGGCTTTACAGTCACTGATACTGATGGGATGTCTCTCTCAAGTTATTCTTGCCATCATTCCTCCACAGTTGACCAGTTTCTTGATGCTTACTGGGAGCTTTTAAGTTTTTCTCTTTGTTTTTTAGGTGTCATTTCATAATGAGGTGCCTTGGTTTATGTCCTTTTAAATTTAAAGAATATAAAAATAAATTAAATTTTAAAATGTAAAAAAGTTTTTGAAAATTTAATTTTTTAAGTTTTAAATTAAAAAAATTTTTAATTTAAATTTTCAAATTTTAAATCTAAAAATACCCTTTAAAAATTTATGTCCCTCCACTCTGTGATATCTTTTTAAGTAATTCTCTTGATATGTTCCTCCTCTGCAATGTCCTTGACTCCAGTTAAATGGCTATTAGACTACCTAAATTTATCTTAATGCTTTTATATTTTCTTTCAAATTTAGGTTTTTTCCCCTTTTAATCTCTTAACTTTCTGGAAGACTTCTTCAACTTTGTTTTATAAGCATTTTAGTAAACTTCAGTAAATTTCCAAAAATCAATTTTAAAATTATCTAAGACCACAATCACTTTCTTTCTTTGTGTCCTGGCATGCAGTGTGTATTCTCAAATCTCTCTATAAATATTAGAGGTTTTGAAAGTTTCTCATTTCCTACAGTATCTCTGTTTCTCCCAGGATAACTATTTTCTCTTTTTGTATGTTATTCTTTCTGATATTTGAGAATTTTCTTAAAACTCTGCTGACCTGTGGTTTTCTGTTCCTACTTGAGAGAAGGCTCTGGAAATTAATTGATGTGATTCACTAAATTAAAGAATAAAGAAGGAAACTCATAGAAATATCTCAGCAGATGCACTTGATAATATTCAACATCTATCTCAGCAATCAAGGCATAGACAATACCTTCCTCAGTCTCGTTAAAAATACACACACACGCGCACACACACACACACACACAAACACAGTGTGTACAGCAAACATCATACTTAATGGTGATACTAAGTGCTTTTTTTTTCTAAGATTGGAAACAAGACAAGGAAGTCTACTACACTTTACTACTTTTCTTCAACATTGTGTCTAAACTCCTAACGAGTATAATGAGAAAGAAAAAAATAATTGTTGGGGAAAAAAAAGTAAAGTTTTGCTTGCTGCTGACGTGATTATTTATTTTCTATAAAATCTAAAAGAAATCTACAAATACATTACTGGAATACAATTTAGTGGGATTATAAATACATGGTTAATATTTTAAAAAACCAGTTTTAATCCCATCCAATTATAACAAGCAATTTAATAAGCAATACCATTTAAAGCAATACCAACTTAAAAAGCAATACCATTTCTAGGTAAGAATAAGTTTAATGAAAGATGTGTATGAGTTCTTTTTTTAATTCAATTTAGTTAACACATAGTGTATTATTAGTATCGAGGTAAAATTTATTCATCAATTACATATAACACCCAGTGCTCATTACATCAAGTGCCCTCCTTCATGCCCATCACCCAATTACCCCATCCCCCCATGACCTCCCCTCCAGCAACCTTGTTTGTTCCCTATAGTTAAGAGTCTCCTGTGATTTGCCTCCCTCTCTGTTTTTGTCTTATTTTATTTTTCCTTCCCTTCCCCTTTGTTCATCTGTTTTGTTTCTAAAATTCCCCAGCCTAGAGGTATATGACTTCTTTACTGAAAACTATGAACTCTTCTGGAAGGAAAACTAAATAAATGGAGAGCTATACAATGTTAACAGATTAGAGCTCCATATTATTATCAGTTGTAACCAAATTTATCTGAAGTTTCAATGTAAACTGAATAAAAATCCCAAAGGCTTTTCTTGTAGAAACTGACAAATTGATTTTAAGAGACATATGGAAAAACGAAAGACCTAGAAAAGCCAAGACAATTTTTCCCCAACTGACTTCAAGACTTTCTATAAGCTATAGAGTCTGCAAGCCAATATGCTATTGGCATAAGGACAGACAAACAGATCAGTGGTACAAAATAGAAAATCCAGAAATAAACCCATGCTTACATTGTAAATTGCTTTTTGAATAGTTCCATTAACTTGTGGTAGGCAAAGATTTCTTAGTACATTAAAGTTATTAACCACAGAAGAAAAGAATTGATGGAATTGGCTTCCTCAAAATTAACAATTTCTCCTTATCAAAACACATGGTTAAGTGAACCACAGACTGAAAGAAAATGTTTGTAATACATGAATTAAACGAAAACACTTCTCTTCATAATGTAAAACAAACTGCTACACATCAGTAAGTAGTAAAAGACAACCCAACAATATAAATGGGTCAAAAACTTGAACAGACACTTTACAAAAGGAGATGTATGAATTGCCAATCAGCATATGAAAGCATGCTCAATGTCATGAGTCGTTAAAGGAAAGAAATTAAAACTGTATGAGATCCTACATCATACTCATGAGAATGGCTAAAATGAGAAAAACTATTTCTAATAGACTGCAAAAAACAGTTTGGCAGATTCTAAAGTGGCTAAGCGTACTCATGCAGTGATCTGCTCCTAATTATTTACCCAAGAGAAATGAAAACGTCATGCCATAAAAGGAAGTGTACAAGAACAGCGGCTTTATTCATACAAGTCCCAAACTGAAATCAATCTAAGTGTCCATCAACAGGAAAATAAATAAGCAGATTGTGGTAGGTCCACACAATGGAATACTTTCACCTACAAAAAGGAACAAACTTCCATTCATCCAGCAGTATGGATGATGAGCAAATGTCAGGCATAAAGGAAACATGATGGATTATCCACGTATATGAAACCCAGTAAGAGGCAAAATTCACACATGTGATAGGTCAGCAATGTTTGCCTTTGAGAGGCTGCCTGGCTCTAGGTGGTCAGCTTGTAGGATGAGGGTTAGAGGTGCACTGTTCCATTTTCCATTTTAAAAATAACATGTACGTTTTCAGCACCCTGTCTCCCGTGTGATCTCTACTGCCTCTTCGGAGTTCTTCAGGGCATACTTGTTTTTCTGACCTCTGGGAGCACCCTTCACCTACAACAGTAATTATTAGCACTCTTCTGACCACTTTTGTCATTGAGATTTTCATTGAAATCTCTCTTGGGCTCATTGCCCCACAATTCTCTTTGTCATTGTGAATCCAATTTCTTTATTATCATTTTGGCAGAGGTTTTAATAAAAGAGAAGACAAATGCTTCTTTTCTATCTGCAGTCTTTGAACTGAAACATTTCTTTTGCAGGAATTTGACATAACAATGTGACATTATTATTCCCCGAGGCATACTAAGTGCTGGGAAGTGGCAATAATTCTCTTCTGGTTTGACAAAGGAAGCTTCTAAGTCTTTGTGTAATAGAGGATGTTGATTAAAACATTATTATCAGAGCAATAAAATGATCAACTAAAAATTGGAATTATAGACTGAGGTTTAAAATTACTTTCACAAGAAACATCAGTGTTTTCTGAAATTCAGATGCCTGAAAAGATTCACTATATATAACAATAATCAGGATAGATTTATACACAAAGATTCCTACACAAAGTAGGACCAGATATCCCAGGAGAAATGTTTGATATTCTTGTGATATTATAAATTTATACTGTTTCACGTCACTATTAACCACATCTTATCCTTTATAAACTAATTTTATAATGTAGGATAGCATTTCTCTTAACATCTATAGGGGGAGAACTGGTTTTTATATTTCTGATATTTTTTTTCCTCTTAGTTGTTAAGTATTTTCAAGGTTAAACTTTTATCCCATTGCTTTCCTTTTTTCTAAAATTGTTTTATTGGAGTATAGTTTATTCCATTGCTTTTCATTCCTTTGTTCACTCCATCTCAATTTTGTTTAAATTTAATTTTTTTTAATTACAAACATATTTCAGATATGTGAAGGTATCTTTATAATGGCTTTCATCCACACAGATTGGAATAGACTTTTTCAGTCCCACACTTAAGTCTTTCTTAACCTTCATACTTTCTTCATCATGTCTTTGCTTATTACTTCAATTCCATTTATTCTGTCTCTGCTCAGCCCTATTTACTTTATATATGTTAGTTTTCCCCAGCTTATTGTTCATATAAATCTTACAGCCTCCACAAGCATCTTGGAATCTTGATGACCATTTTCACTTGGTATCCTTCCTTCCTAGGACATCCACAGAAGACCAGTACAATGATGACAGACTTGTCTATGAGACTCTATTCAAACATTTCAAAAGACACAAGGTGGAGATTTCAAATGCAATAAAAAAGCCATTTCCTTTCTTTGAGTGCCTCCGGGACCGTGAACTCATCAGCAATAAAATGTATGATGTAAGTGATGTTTATTATGTCACTCTTTGGTAACCTGTCCCCATATGGAGTTATATTTTGATATCTTGGACCCAAACGTCAGGCACAACTAACTGACTAAGGAGTCTCCTATGAGTGGGGACTTTTTCAAGTATTGTTGCAGGTGTTACCATAAGGTAAAAAGGAAAAAGAGAATCAGTTGTCACCAGAGATAATCCCGCTTCTCACTGAAGGAAAGGTGCTTTGTCCTGCCCCCTGGAGTTGGGCTGAATAGCATAGCAAATGGGCTGAACCTGAAGCAGAGGTGCTCCATAGATGTATAATGCCTTGTAGGAACACGTAGAATATAACATAAACTGAGAATTAAAGGTAATTTTAATAAATTGATGTAAAACTTAAGTGAGTTAATTTAATAAAATAATAATTGACAGATATCATTTCAGTGGGCATCAATTTGAGTGCTTAGATCTGAGAACATTAAAATCTACAGGGAACTGATGTCCTATTGGGAAATTTGGGAATTGATGATTATTATTCTTTTGTTAGCAGTTCTCAGTTTTTAGGGCTTTTTTGTTTTGTTTTTTCTATTTCTCTTTCTTTTTTTGTGGTATTTCTGGAGTCTTGGAATTTGGGTTTGATTTTATCAATAGGCATTGCTGGACATACAGAGATTCAAGTCTTCTCTTTGCCGTGTGAATATACATTCTCTGTGGCCAAATTCACAAAAGGAGACAACTATCACAGGGTTTTCTTGAGTTCTTCCAGGCCAAGTCCATCCTGGGGAAAGGGTAAAGGTCATCCCTGGGACAGGACAGCTGCTCATCACCTCTTAGTCTATTCCTAAAACATCTGGCCAGGTTCCTAAAGGGCTACACATCATTTAACTTTGAACCCACTGTTATTCTTCAAAACTGCTCTTACTTATATGTAATATAGATGAAGGTGAAGAGAGATCTGTTTCACAAGTGAATGTTTTTGAGGAGGCAGGATTTACTTGTTTCACGTAGTATCTAAACAAATAAATAGAAATTCTAAAACTTTATGAGAAGATACCTGGGAAATTGGAAAACATTACCCATGAAATCACTTTCAAGGGCTCTTTTGTAACTTGAAAGTCTGTATTTATATTCTCTCCATTCAATATTTTTTTAAGGATTGTCAAGATTCTTGTAGAAACCTGGTCCCTGTACCAAGAGTGGCGTATAATGTTCTCAATGAACTGGAGAAGACATTTGACCTGCCACTTCTGGAAGCATTGTTCAGCGAGGTCAACAGGCAAGAATACCCTAATTTAAATCACATTTACAAGAGCTTCGAATTTGGTAATTGGGTTTATTATCTACCTTTTGACATCCAGGGCCACATTTTTTTTTTTTTTGACAAATATAAACTGAGAGCCTACATTGTTCCACAGGCAGTGCTGGGGCAAGATATAACAGTAGAGAAAATACAAATCGTGAACCTTCTCAAAGCTATGGTATAATAACTACAGTTCAACAACCACCTAGAGTAGAGGTCTGCTTAACTAGGCATTTAGACTCACAGGACAATCAGAGCCAAAGTGGCTTCAGATTTACTTAAAAGGACAAATGATAGGAAACCCAGCATCCCCACAGGGCAGCATCAGTTGCTCCTCTTCTGTGGGACTCCTTGTGGAGACCCACACAGCGGTCCACCAAGGTGACTACTACTCGCCTTGAGTGTCTGTGGATGTAGGCTGCACCCTGGCTTAGCAGCACCATGCCCATGTAACAGTGCTCAGTCATGTAACAGCACTATAGTCGTAACGTTCAGGAACCCTACTAGGGACAAACCAAGTTGTAAGTGTCACCACTTTGAAGGAAGACCAAAGCCTGCTTTGTAACCTGTAGATAGTCCTTCCCCATCCACATGCAATTTACCAGTCGTTTTTAACTCTAAACTAGGGCCAAACTAGGTATTAACTAGGTCGATGTTGGCCTAGTAGAAGAAAACCCACCTTCATCAGGTTTCCAAAGTAATGAGCCAGAAAGTTAACCCAAGGTCAAATTTACGCTTAAAGAAGGAGAATTGGTTTCGTTAACTCTTTCTCCACAAGGGGTGAAACAAACATTATTCAAATAATCACAAAACTAAAGGCTTAATTCTCAATTTTTTTCCTGGGAAAACATGATTTTTACTTTATTTTAAAAATAACTTTAATTTAATTTATTTTAAGAACTGCAAGAGTTAAGAGAATGCTCTTTATATATCTATATATAGATATATAGATATATAGATATTTAAACTTGACTGGGAAACTTTTTATTCCAACACAGTTTGGTGCCAGTGGAGTTCTCTAGATAAGGGATAAAAACATAAGAAGAATGTCAATGTGTCCTGAAGAGGGTAGGCACTATGCAATCAGGCATGGAGTGTGAAAGGACCTAGTGTGTCCTCATAGACAAATTCAATTTGTCTCAGAGAGTGAGAAGCAGAATGTGGAGCTGATTCATGAGAGATAAATTTGAAGAAAATTTTAGGAAGCTAGCCATATAAAACTAAGCAATTAAAACATTATTAGTAGGCAATAAAGAGATATCAACAGTTTTTATAAACAAGGAAAAAATTAAAAAGCATGTATAAAGCATGTGGTTTGTTGACTTGTGTCAGTAGTAACCCTATCTAATTAAAAACAAAATAATTTCAACAGCAGGTCAGTCCACTTTGAAATGAATAATAAATAAATAAAGGCAATTGTCAATATTATATTGGTAACCAGCATGTCCTGGGCCATGGGAACAGAGGGAATGGTGTATACTTGTACTGCCCACATCTCAGGGGCTCTGATTCTCTTCATGGACTGTAGGGACCCCCCCCTTTCCAGGTTCAGTGTGCACATCGCCTATATGTGGAGCTCCCTGAGCTGGGGTGCCCTTCACCTACACTTGTTCCCACCCACCTGCCCCTGGGAGATGGCAGCAGTTGCCTCCCCCACATTTTTGTCTACAGGAGCTGTGCATCAGCGACCCAAAGCCCAGAATCTGGGCGCTGTGGCCTGGGGTGCAGCACCCTCTCCTGCTGCTCAGTCCCATCTTCATCCCATGCTCAGAGCCCCCTGAGCCCCCATGGGACCACCTACATGCACACAGACCCCCTTCACCTTTCCCTTTGTTCTCCTCGAATCTTCCACCTGGTTTTGCCAGGGTCTGAGGCCAGGTCCTGGGGAGACAAAGCATCCGTGGCTCCCACTATTCCGTGCAACTCACCCCTGCAGGTCCTGCCCCAGGAGGAGCTCCTGCCACAGGCCCTGGAGCAGCAGGTTTCCCGACTCTGTGGGGTCACCTCCTCCCTGAACTCCCCACAGACATCCTCCCCACCTCCCTCCAGGCTTCCTAGTTTATTTCCTTCCTTCCATGTGTGCTGGGTCACCTACAGGCAGGTGCTGGGCTGGTGTCCCTCCCTCACCTGATTGGCGACCTCCCCAGCCCTGGGCAGGCCTGTGGGGAGATCCTCCAGTGCAGCTATCCGTGCTCCCTGCTCAGAGCTGCAGAGTGTCCTTCCTCTGTTCCTGGTGTCTGGGCCCCTGGGAGGTCTGTCTTGTTCCTCCAGGTGTCCTCTGCTTTGTGTCTTTGGGAAGCCCTCACCCTCCCTGCCCCGACCTTCCTCTTGTCTAGCAGCATCTTCAGAGCAGCTGGACTTTTTCTTTCATAGCTGTGGATCTCTCTGAGAGCCTAGCCCTTCCCCAGAGGAAATACCTATTTCTTCCTTTCAGTTTGAACAGTTCAGAAACACATTTCACTTCTATTATTTACTTTGATATATGCTTTTCCTGCCCATCCGCAAATTCTTTTACAAGAGTAACAGCATCATGATGTTTCCTTACATTGGAGTGGCTCCTTTGTGTGTGGGAAACATAGACTCTCTTGCTGGGAGTTCCCTTTTCTATCACAGGGATGATGGGGGAGCTTTACAAGGAGGATCAGAGGCACTGAGCTTGAGTGACCTGAGGCTTGGGAGTTGTTAACTGTGTAATTTCGAGGTGTTGTTCCTGGTCTCTGATGGGATCCCTGTTGCCTCCTTCTGTCTCCCTGTCTTCAGCGATCCAAGAGAAAATTAATTACCAAGAAAGTGATGAAGAAGAGGTGGACAACAGTCCTAATACCCAACTGAGCATTGAACAAGGTGATTGTAACCCAATAAACACTGATTCTCATCTGCAAAGAAGAAAAGGAGAAAGGGAACTCAGCCCTGAGTCCTGAGTGTATTTGGGGAATCAGGGAAGAAGTGTTAAGGACCAAGGAAAAGGCAGGGAGGGGTGTTTGCATGAGTGTCTAAGTAGAGGCCAAATCCTGGAGGAGTAGCTATGACAAGAGACCATTGGTTCAATAACCAAGACAAAGGGACAGAATCTCAGTGTGAGAGTAAACCAGATTTAAGCAGATTCGCTGTCAGGAAGTAACTGTGATTTAGAAAAGTCCCTGTAGGAAAAGATCCCATGTGAAGCTGTAAAGGGGCCATGGTCAAAATCAAATGATGGCGGAAGGGCTGATTTCAATGTGGGGGATGTTGTTCAAGAGCCCAGAGAGTCAAGGGGAAAGCCAGTCACACAGAGAGAGAAAAGAGGAAGTGGTAAAAAGATGGAAGGGAGGGTGTGGGTACTTTGAGTGAGAGAAGGAGGGAAATGAAAGAGAAGAAAGCATTAAAAGACACAATAGAAATAGCTGTGTTATTAACATCTCACTGGTTGAACATTTATGGGGACAGTTGTAGGTTTAGTGGTCAGGCTACCATTGGAGGTTGGCATTGCTTATGTGCCCATTTTACGGATAAGGAAATTAAAATCCAGAGGCTGTGTGTTTTGTTGGCCTAGGGTCAGATGAACAAGGGTGAACCCAGGCCTTCTGAATCCAGAGCCTGTGTGTGTGTGTGTGTGTGTGTGTGTGTGTGTGTTAATGGAAGTAAAAATTCACATAACATAAAATTAACCATTTTAAAGTGCATGGTTAATGATTTTTGGTGCATTCACAATATTGTGCAACCACTACCTCTGTCTGGTTGCAAAACATTCTGATCACCTCAGAAGGGAACTCCATATCACTCCCTGTGCCCCTCTTGCCTAGCCTCTGGCTACTACTCATCTCATTTCTGTCTCTTTGGATTTACCTATTCCAGACATTACACGTAAATGGAATCATATCAACATGCCCTTTATGTCTGGCTTCTTTCACACAGCTCAGTATTTTCAGGGTTCATCTATGTTGTGGCATGAATGTGGTTCTTCATTCCCTTTTCTTGGTGAAGAGCATTCCCTTGTATGGATATATTCATCACATGTTGCTTATTCATTCTTCAGTTAATGATGGGTGGTTTCTACCTTCTGGCTGGGACAGAGCCTGCATTCTTAACCCTGTACTGCCACTCTGGTATTCTAATGGAAAAGACAGAAGCATGAGACAAAAGGGAAATATATGCAGAGAAAGATATAGAAAAAAGAATACCAAGAATGGAAGGAGGTAGAGGAGAATTGGACATGGAATCCTCAAGGAAAGGCCAATGAGAAAGAACAGATATGTAGAGGGAGGGTGTAGAGGAAGAGGAGGTGGGGATGAGTCAGCAGGGCTATGTAGGACCGGAGTAATTCCACTGGTCGGGGAAAGCTCTGGGAACAAAGGCAGCTTCACTATGGCCATGGGAGTCAGGATAAGCTATCACCAGTTACTCAAGTGCTTCGAGTTGGACATGCAGTGAGGTGGTCTGGCTGAGACCCTTTTAGCCTGGGGTGCAGCTGACCCCTTTCCTCTACTCTGCCAGTTGGGGTCTGACTGCAAGGGTTGCATGGGATCTGTCAAGTCCACATGATCTTTGTATGGCTACCTGGAGGGGATCTTCAATTCTTGCTTTATAAAAAATGGGATTAGGGGAGAATGGCACAGAGAATACTTCAATTTCTGAAATGAACTTGCAATTTCTTCCCCCTAGGAACTGGTGAAAACTCTTATCGAAGCCTGACCTCGTCATGCCCCCAATCCTCATCTTACCACGGTCTGTTCCTGTTGACTGTATTCTGATCCTTTGTGTTCTTGTCCCATTCTGGAATGTGCTGAGATGTGGTGGGGCCGGTGGGGGGGGGGTTGCAGGGGTATGTGTGTTTTTTTAATCACTGATTGCCCAGAATTTCTGTCTTTACTTCTCAATTTCTGTAAGGAAGTCCTAGGGTGTTTGCCCTAGGATTCATTCCTTACCTTCCCCTGTTCTACTCTGCCCTCTATCTCTGGCCACTGGCCCCTGTGGACTTACTTGCTAGCTCCCTTTGTTGCTGGCTTCCTGCTGGGTTGCAGACATGGGACTCTAACAAGATATCAGAGAACAGGAAAAAGGGAGAACTTGGATATTTCCCCATCACTGCTTTTGTCTACAAATCTGAAAGTGGCTGTATCTCATCCATGATACCTCTTCCCACCAAGCAGGCCAGCCATGGGCCACCGTCTATCCAGTGACCCTGACCTCGGAGCACACCCTTGGTCCCTCCCACAGTGTCTTATTAAGTATTCTTCTGGTCACTGCATTCTTCTATTTGGACTTCAATTGTATTTATCAATTGTATAACCAACCCCTGGATGGAATTCCCTGTGCTGCAAAACCTTAGAGTGATTTGTATTTTCTTGTTGGACCCTGATTGATTCAGAGGGCAAATATCTATGAATTAAAACATGGTTTAGGTACAACCCCATCCGAAAATGGGCCCTTGGAGAACCTCTGTGAACCAGAGCAGATAAATGGAAACAGAACAGATATAACCAGTGACAAAAATGATGCACAAGAAGTCCAACAAGCAAATGAGGAGTATGCCCAAGAATCTGAGCCAGCAGGTAAGACTGATTGCCTGGGTTTGCCTGATTGTAGAGGCCTAAGCAGTCCTTGTTGGTGGCAGAGAATGGAGTCATGCTGAACTTAAGGAAACATCTATTAACAAAGAAGGGAAGCTCATGCAGATATAGAGAAGGCAAGAATGCAGCTTGATATATTGATGGGAGGAAGGAAATTAGGAAGTGTTAGCTTTTGCAAGCTACTTATTTTTTACTGGATTAGAAGCTGGTATTGGGTGAGATCGGAATTGCCAACTTCTACAATTTTCCTGCTGATAAAAATGCTAAGTGAACTAATTTGTACTGTTTAACTGAAAGAGCAATATTTGCCTACATGTAATGGAAAGTATACAAAATATGTTCCTGGTGCTTTTAAATTTTCTCAGTGTTGGAATACCTCTTATTGATAGAAAAGTTGCAGTGCTAGGGGCTGAAAATGTATTCTGACTTTAAGATCTTCAAAAGCTACTAAGAAAATTAAAGGAGTACACAGACAAATAAAATGCAAAGCAAAATAAGAAATATGGGCTGTGAGAGACATGGGTACATGCTATAGAAATTTAAAGAGAAAAAAAGATTGTTTCTGGCTAAGGAGCAAAGCAGAGAAAATCAGGACATGCTATGGTAGTATCAGTTTGCATACAGCCTCAGCAGAAGAAACTGGATATTAAGTTTAAAGAAACCCAAATTTGAAGAAAAAAGAAAAAGAAAATTTCACAGTATACATTTAAGTGTTGGGGCCCAGGGCAAGCTGCCCTAAAATGTGCCATTTAGGCATAAAGATTTTTTCGAGTTAAAATAAAAATGTAGCAGATGCAGGAAAGGTGCTCTGCCTTCTCCATAACTGCCTCGATATACCCTGGAAAGGAGAGCCTATTCCAGGAAGAGAAATACTAACAGAGACTCCGCTTTACCTAAGAAAGAACTTACCTGTATAATAGAATAATGTTACATGTTTTTCCAAACATCTCCTTTGACTTTCTTGCTAATGACTTTTCTCCCCTCTGTATCCTCAGGCCCCTATCCCTCTCCCAAGCTCATATAAGCTTCATGTTGTCTCATGATGTTTGTAATCCCATGTCCATGTGGATTCCCCATATGTATGCCTATTAAATTAGGTTTTCTTCAATTAAAAAAGAAAAAAGAAAAGAAGAGAAAAGGAGAAAAGAAAAGAAAAAAAGGAAAGGAAAGGAGAGGAGTGGAAAGGAAAGGAAGGGAAAGGAAAGGAAAGGAAAGGAAAGGAAAGGAAAGGAAAGGAAAGGAAAGGAAAGGAAAGGAAAGGAAAGGAAAAAGGAAAAAGGAAAAAGTTAGGAAGGATAAATGAAGAGACAAAGGGTAAAAAGTTACAGTGCCCCATGAGGGAAGAGAGACAGAAAGAAAAGTTCAAAGTAGTCAGGGAGAGCTTGATCACAGAATCACTGAAGCACCAACACTTTCATGGGGTGAAGGTTAAGGTGGCAATATATTACAGACAAGCTGTAAAGAGAAACATGAGAAGAAAAGAGAAGTCAAGTGCGGTGTAACAAAATGCAAATAGGCAGAACAGGGAGGGCTCTATAGGATCTCAGCTGTGGTCTTTTTTATCCTCAGAGTCCTGTGAACAAGAACCAATCCAAGTGAATAACGGAGACACAAGAGAAGACACACCCATCCCATTGCCCTGTGATGGAAAAAGTAATTATCACTTATCTTACCAATTTTCTAATTCTATCTTTGTTTTTCTATGAGAGCAAAAGCTTTCCTTTGTTCTCTGATACTAACCACCTCCCTGACCCTAACAATATCCAAGACCCACAGCCTTGTGCACAGCCTCTGGCTACTTCTAAGTCATGTGAGATGCAAGGGGGAAAGAGAGCTGAGCTCTTTGATGAAAGGCATGTTCCTGAGGAGAGAATACAGAGAGAGAAAATATTAAAAAAGTGAACCAAAGAACACCAAATGACAAAGTACAGGAACAACATGGACTTTAGATAAATTGACATAGAATCTAAACAGTACCATTTTGTGGAGTTGGTGAAAAGAAATAAGTTGCAACTTGCTTCTCAGAAGTTGTGACAGAAACATGGAAACCATGCATGATACTGCTGGTCAGATTTGCAAGTACAGAAGCTCTGGTGAAGGACTTTTAGAAAAAAAGTGGCAACTGGAGGGACTTGGAGTGGGGGGATAGTGACACAGGAGGAGAACTTTGGTGATAACTGGAATGCTTGAGATGAGAAAAATGAATAGAAAGACAAAAATCAATATAGAAGAGGCATACAGAAAGACACACTAATAATTAAGAAACAGAGATCAAGTAGGAGAAAGTAGGAAATGTAACAGAGAATGGATAAACTGAAAAATCTGGTAGGGGAGAGCAGGGCTAGTTCTAGGATGAGGCAAGGAGGTCCTAGGACACATGGAAAGAAAATCTTATTTTTGGTATCTTCTTGTCCCCTTGGCACCTCTTCAGACTCACTCTAGAACCTGCTGGATCCTAGGAGATAGTGATAAAGAATGTTGAGAAAAAGAGTATGAACAGAGAAATAGACAGAAGGAAATTAATACCAGTAAATAGAAAAAATAGGGAGGAGGCCTAAAGAGAATGAGTAGAGGATAGGTTAAGGGACCATGAGTGAAAAAGTGATAAGAGAGTGGACCAAATAAAGAGTGAGAAGACAAAAATGGAACATTGTTCCATTTGAAAAGATGATCACCAGAAAAAAGACACAGAGGGCTCTTCCTAATACCACTGAGAAGACATCATTAAGGTGTCTACAATTACCAAAATGACACTTTCACTCCCTCAGAAAAAAAATGGACCTCTACCCAAGCATCTCATGTCTCCATGGCTTCAGTCACCACCTGTGATCTGTGGATTCCTACACACACCTCTGCTCCAGAACTGTCTTCAAGATTCATTCCTTTAAGTGCCTGAAGACTTGTAATCAAAGATCTGAAAGTCATTTCTATTCAGAAGCTATATTAGTTACCTGTTGTTGTGTAAAAAACAGTCCTGAAATTCAGTGGATTAAAATAACCATTACTTTATTTGCCATTGCTGTCAATTCCAACTTCAAAATATGTCCAACCTGCCCATTTCTCTCCATGTCCAGGATGCTTACGCTAATTCAGATTCTCATCACTTCTCACTTCAAAGTAGAGGAACTTTCCTGCTGGCCTCCTCCCTCCTATCTTGCTTCCCTCAATCTGTTCTCCATACTTCAGCTCAATGAGCATTGCAAAAGTGCCAACCAGTTCATATGGCTTTCCTATTTAAACCTAGTGCCCTCTTGTGATCCTCAGCATGAGGTCAACATAACTTGGTGTGGAGTGTTGAAGGGTACCTCCCATACAGTTGCATAATCTCCCCCTGACACTCTCTTCCACCACATTCCCACCATACCAAATTCTGCTTGTTTACTTGAATTGTCAAGCTCTCTCAATTATATCTCTGCCTTTGCATTGTATACGGTTTGGTATATAGTTCCAAAGTTGAAAATACACATAGCTTGTGACTTGGCAATTACATTCCTCAGCTGAAACCAATAGAAATGCACACTATGTTCAAAAAGAGAAAAGAAACACACAGAAAAGCAGTATTATTCATAATAGCCAAAATCTTGAAACAGCAAGACCAATAATCCAAAAAAAAAAAGAATTTTTTTATGGTTTTATTTTTTCATCGCTTATTTCTACAATGGAATACTATACAGAAGTTAAAAAGCAAAATAAATACAGATGATTCTCACAAACATAATGTTGAGAAAGGAAGCCAAATCGTCTCCCTGCCCCCACCAAATGACAGAGACAGAGAAAGAACAAATGAGGGAAGGGACATAATTCAATTTATACAAACATGTATATTTTGGAAGGGGCAAAATTAATCATAAGTAGTATTAAAAGTCAGGATGAGGGGCGCCTGGGTGGTTCAGTGGGTTAAAGCCTCTGCCTTTGACTCAGGTCATGATCCCAAGGTCCTGGGATCCAGCCCTGCCGCGGACTCTCTGCTCCGCGGGGAGCCTGCTTCCTCCTCTCTCTCTGCCTGCCTCTCTGCCTACTTGTGATCTCTGTCTGTCAAATAAATAAATAAAAATCTTAAAAAGAAAAAAACAAAAGTCGGGATGAGCATGTTGTTAACTTGAGCTACATGCTGGAGACAGTCAGTGGGAGGCATCACTAAGAGGCTCCCAGGGTATGAGTAATCTTCCATTTCTTGACCACAGTGACAGTTACCCAGATATGCTTACTTTGTGATGATTCAAAATTTATGATTTGTCCATTTTTTAATGCACATTTTACTGAGAATATAATTTTTATTTTTAAAAGAGCAAAAAGTGGGGCTCCTGGGTGGCTCAATCAGTTAAGCATCTGACTCTTGGTTTCAGCTCAGGTCATGATCTCGGGGATGTGAGACAGAGCCCCACGTTGGGCTCCATGCTCAGCATAGAGTTTGCCTGAGATGCTCTCTTCCTCTGCCCCCACTAAAATAAATAAATAAATCTTTAAAAACAAAAAAGCAAAAAATAATTCATCAAAGGATGAGAAGAGAAAATAAAAACAAACAAAAAACCCCCAAACCAGGGAGGCACAGAGAAAAGGACACAGTTAAGCAGCAGGAAAGAAGGGGGTGTGGGGGCGGAACTTCAGCCCTGCAGTGGATTTACAGGGAGAAGGACTTATCGATAGTAGTGAACAGTGTGTTCTCCCTTTGGGGGGAGACAAATGAAAATTCTTCATTCATTACAATTTGATTAGGCTCACCGCTATCCAACCATGGAATCCAAGTCAATTCCTGTTCTGTGCGTCTGGTGGATATAAAGAAGGAAAAGCCATTTTCCAGCTCGACACTTAACCAGGCATCTGCCATAATAGGTAAGGCTGACTGAAAGAGTGTGTAATTTGAGTCACCAGTTCCAGGCAAGGGGCTGAGACTTGTCATCAGGGTCCATCGAAGCAGCCCAGTTGACCTTGGATGGAGGCAAGAGGGGAGGAACCAGCATCATACACAGTGAGCTCCACAGGAGAAAATCCCAGTAATCAGAAAAAGACAGAAATAGTAGATTTAAGTACTAACGTATGGAAGATGATTTCTAAAGCGAAAGAAGAAAGTATTGCGGTAGAAGTTGAAGAAAAGGAAAAAAACTTCAGAGAGCCAAGATATTCATAAGAGGGAATGAAGAAGAAAACACATGAAGACAAAGAGAGGTATAGAGGGATACCACTGCCATAAAGAGAGGCATAAGTAAGGGCAATAGGCAAAGCCAAGAAGGAAGTGGAGTAAATTGAGACTAAAAGATATAGGGAGCCCGGAGGTGCGGGGGAAGAGTAGGAGATCACATGAGGCCAGAGGTAGGAGGTCAAATGAGGGCAGGTGTAGGAGGTCACATGAAGGTGGGGGAAGAAGAGTGTTGGCAGGGGTGGGCAACACTGCCCTCTGTGCATGAATTCCATCACTTTTAGTTTAGGACTGGAGCAAACTGCAGGTCACACACATTCAAGCACAGACCAGGGTGCCTTGAGTTAACTTAGCTTCTAGGTTTCCCTAGTGGTCCCGTTGCTGAATTGCCTGCTATGTGGGCTCATTGGCCCCACCCTGAAGCTAAAGGGCTTTGCTCCTCTGTGCAGTGATCAGCAGTGACTCAGAGGAAACCAGTGATGAAGACAAGGCCCCAGAAGACTCCATGTCAACACTGGAAAGTGGACCCGGTAAGGAAGTGAGAAAGCAGGCTTTGGCTACAAGAAGCTGAATTAAGATCTACTGTTTGATGCACCTTATTCTGTGCCTATCCTGTATGATAGATTCAGTTTATCCTGGAATCCCAGTCTCTGCATTTATTTTACTCTACCTTTTTGGGAAATGCAGGAAGATTAAAAAATCATTGTATATATAGTTTTTAAAGATAAGGCCTATTAATTGATAGGTCCTATTTTTCAATACAAGCACCCATGTATTGATTATATAGGAGAAAGGAGCTACCAAAATGATGAAGTTTTTTTTTAAACTAGCTAGTTTCTATGCTTATATGGTATTGGATTTTTACAGTGATTTTTGTAGGGAACAGAAAGCTAAATATTCCTTTATTAGAAGATCATATCATCATCTGAGCACAAACTGAATTGTGTCAAAAGACAACTCATTCAGCTAACCAGTGTTAGCAGAAAAAAGATTCAGATAGAGCACTCTGAAACCCAAAGTATTGTTTTTGAGAGTTCTTCAGCAAGTCATGGCATCAATAATGACTTTTCCAAGGACTTTTGCAAATAATACCTTACTTTTTAATTTATAAAAATCTTAAGTACCCCAGACATTGTAGAGAAAACACAATCACATCAGTGTTTAAAGGTCTTCTACAAAGTCTCATGGAGAATTAAAGGGACAGACAAGACAGCATCCTGGATTCTGCATTTTTGCTCTTTAAAATTGAAGCTAAAAATGATTTTCAAAATTATCAAAATGTTTCCTCAGTTTTATGGGTAGCATGAGTGGTGCTAAAGTCTGCAGATCTTTTGTGCACACATGGGTGATTTTTTCCCCTTTCTACTTTCTTGACCCAGAGGTTATTAGAAACATGCCTGTTTGGGGAAACATACTTGGAAAAGACCTAAAAACAAGTAAAAATATTACCTGATCCTGATGTTACCAAAGAACAATATTTTAAATGATACATCATTCTTATTACTTACTAGATCCATCAAAGTAAAATGTAAATTCACTTCAGGTTTTAAAGGGTACACATTTTAACTTCTGTCTTAGTATAGCAAACTGCTCTAAAAGGCAGTCCCAGATATGTCTAGGAGGCAGACACAAGAGATTATTTCTCAGCCTTGCAAATGCACTGGGTTGGGCGGGACCAGAAGAGGTTGTTGACACAATTTTTCCAAGGTTAGAAACAGCAGAGATGAAGAAAGTGTGAAGTGACAGTGGAAGGGATAAGAAGTAGAAAAGAGATAGTAGGGGAAGAGCAAACAGGGCAAAGTTGCCCCTTGCCTCTGGGGACAGGGAATGGAATGGGACTACCATTCAAGGCAGGTAGCTTAGAAGGACAGACCAGGGTGGCACTGTTGCAGACCACAATTTGCATGGGTTTTCTAGATTTTTCTATCTTTTCTTATGAGGATATTTCCTGCTAGTATTTCAGTTTCTTGGTCACACGCTGAGACCCCTAAAAAAGCCCTCTTCCTTTGTGCAGTGACCAATAATCTTGACTCATTAGAATCAAGTGAGAGAGGAGACTCCCAAGAAGCTACCTGCTCACGACTTCAGATTACGCTGGGTAAGAGCATTAGGATTGCAGCCCTGGAGGACAAATACTTGGAGTCTAAATCCAGAGCTGTTTTTCTGATGAACCTTGTTTTGAGCATGCTCTATGTGCCTTGATTCTATAACTTCCAGGGACTATTTTCTGCATTTAATTTCTCTCACCCTGTTGGGAAGTGGAAGGAGGCAGGAAGGCATTATAGACTGTTATTTAACTGCATGGGCCCATTTGACTGATATATAGAATATGTAGCAAAAATATGCTGGTAAAATGACAAACTTTTTTTCTATGCACTATCATGTATTAATGCAAAAGAGTCGCAGTAATGTATCTATTCTCTACCAATATGCTTTATATTCTATTCAAAAGAGTAAGCATGGTGCACCTCTGTTTGTTGACAGTATTGTCTTCAGTTCCAAACTTAAAAAGACTTCAAAGAATAATTTGTGCTATTTAATTATTGATGGGAGAATGACTTCTGATCAGCTATTCTTAAACCCAAATTACTTAACTATTGGCTCACATTGTGATTTTATAAATAAAGCTTCACTTTATTTTCATAAAAAACCTTAACAGGGAGATAGGATAACTAGGTTATCCCTGCTTTATAGATAAGGCAACTGTGGCTAGTAATGTTGAAGAGTCATTTAAAAATTTACATGGAGAGCAAAAGGAGAGCCAAGCAGGAACCCAGCATTATACTCCAGGCCATCAGAACTGGATTCAGTTGAAGGAAAGAGAGAAAAATGATCATCAAAAGATTGTTATGATTGCAAGCCCATTGAGCTGTCACAGAATTTGTAAGATCATTGCATACAAATAGTTGTTTCTTCCCTTTTACTTTATAGACCCCACGGATTTCAGAAAATTGCCTATATCCAAAGAAAGAGTTTGGAAAGTAGATAAGGGAAAATAAAAACTCTTGGTGGTTACAAATGAACAGTGCTTTCTACAAAAGATCCATTCTAATTCTTTGTTATATCTTTCAAAGTAGAATATAAATTTGTTTTAATTTAGGGTGGTTTGTATTTTAACTTTAGTATTAATTAGTTGGGCTAATGGTTGTAACAAGCAAACCCAAAAAAGTCAAGGGCTCAAACACAATAGAATTAAATTTTTTTCTCAAGTAAACTTTCCAAGGAGTTTTAGATGGGAGAGGTGGGAGACCCTGTTTCAAGTGGGCTTTAGGGAAGCAGCCAAGTGGGAAATCTGCCTTCTTTGATACCGGACTCCCAAGATGTCCTGGGGATATTCTTGCCATGGCTTTTTAACCATCTTGGTTCCTTTGTCATAAACTGAGACTTTCAAGGGACACTTGCTTCTTCCACAGCGAAAAGATTTGTTGAGTATTTGGAATCCAGTGAGGATGAGGGGCCTCCAAGAGCCTCGTGCTTAGTACTGAGAAGTGATACTGATGAGGAGGGTAAGTACTGACATCACTGGACTCCCAGACACGAGGAATCTGAGTTCAGAGTTCTTGTTTCCTGGGCATTTAACTCCGAGCACACTCCACAGCCTAGGATCCTATTCTCTGCATTTATCACATCTGGCCATTCTGAAAAGTGCAAAGAGAGAAATCATTATAAATTTCAGGTTTAACAAGATGGCTCTAGTTGAATGGTAGTGTCATTTCTACGACATGCTTTCAGATTTATTGACGCCAAAGTATTGAATTCTGTAGTGATTTCCACCTCTGCCCACTCTGATTTTCTAGAGAGCAGAGAAAATGGGTATCTGCTGTTGCTTGATTTTGTCGCACACTTGTTCAAAAATCAGAAGATTCTGATCATAGACTTTGATTATTGGCAGAAAGAAAAGCTTCTGGTTATGACCATCAAATTTAATTTATAGCTTTTGACAGATGACCCCAATATGACATTGGTCTATACAATATTTGAAAATATCTTCACTAGTAAGATACCCTTTTATGTTTATAACAACTTTAAAGGTAGCCAGATAACTGTTACTGTCTCTACTCCACAGGTGAGGAAACTCTGGCACATAAACATTTAAGGATCTTCACACATCTTGTGTGGAAAGTTACTAGAAGGGACAAAACACCCTGGACTCTTAGCAAACATCCGTAGTATTTTATTCAAAACCTTTGAAGCCAGGCATAAAATAACAATCTGTTAGAGAGACAATGTGGTTTATATCCTATATATTACCCCCCAGCCACCACCAAAAATCCAACAGGGTCTGGGACAGAATCCCATTCTCAAATATACTATATTGATATTCCTGCAACAAATTGTGTGATTTCACACCAAGTGTGAGAAATAAAGTTTTTACATGGAGTCATGTCAGCTCAAGTCCAGATTCACTGCCGAAGTAGTTAACTGAAAACCTATGGGAAAAATATGGATTTTCAAAACTTCTTTGATTTTGCAGTTGGGGCCAAAGGACTATGGTTCTCTGTGCCATTTAGTAGTGATCTTTCTCCTTTAGATGGGAAGAGACAGAAATGATCATCATAGTGTCTTTCTAGTCCAAATCCTATCTACAGCGTGAGTAGTCATAAGATTTACAACTCTTAGTTGTAGATTACTGGTTGTGTTTTCCTTTACTTTTTAGATCCTGTGGATATTGGAAACAAATCTATTTGGGGGATATGCAAGAGAAAAAGATGTAAGAGCAATTAAAAATCTTGATGTAACAAATATGTTTCTTTACTTTCTTTACAAAAACTTTGTTCAAAAAATTTTGTTATATCCCCTAAAATAAAAAAATTAATTTGTTGGTAATTTAAAGGATTCACATTATACATTTTGAATTGGGTGGGCTGGACTAATTGATACAATGTGTAGGCCTCAAAAAGTTCAATGGTACAAGTGCAATATAAGTATATTCTTCACTTGCTTAAATAGGATTAAGTAACTCTGGGAGTGGAGGGCTGTTCTGCTCTGTATGATTATTGAAGACCCCAGCTGGTAAAGGCCTTGACATCTTGAAAACGTTGTTTCCACAGACTCCCTGGATAAGCAAGGGAACTGGAAGAGGAAGTGTGTTCCAACAAGTGGAGAGGGTAAGACATGATGACAAAAGGGAATGCCTTCCATGGCAACGTTGTCCCCCAGCCAAGCCCTGGGGGTGGTTCCTGGAGCAACCTTGACCAACAGGTCAGATGGAGCTACAAGGTAGCCTGGTAGTAGGAATATTCCTGCTTCTCCTACATGAACTTCCTTTTCTAATTTTCCTTTTAAAGAATTTGGTGCCAGATTTGTTCCTAGGACACAGACTGAGACTGCTAAGGAATTTTGTTTCTTTCTGCAGGGATCAGCAGTGCTAACTGTTCAGAATTAAGTGATACAGAAGAACCTCAGGAATCTTCTAGCTCAGTCCTAAGAAGTGGGTCAGGTAAAGAAGATTAGGATGCCAAGCCTTGGTCTGCAGAATGTCAGGAATTAAAAGCTACTGTTTTCTGATGCATTCTATTCTGAGCACCTTGAAGACCTGTATCCAGTTAATCCTGAGAACTCCTTTTCAGCATTTTAGAAACTAGGAGACAGGAAATTATTATAAATTCATGTTTAACAGGCTGAGTCCTATCGAATAAATGTATGTAATTATATACTGCTGTTGTGGAAGAAATGAAGAGCAAAATGGTGGTATCTTTTTAATACCTACTGTCATGCCTACTACCACTAAGATCTTAGATTTCTATAGTGATATATTGATTGGTACTAATGTCATCTGTAATTGTAAAATTCTCAAAAGACGACTGGTCCTGCTATGTAATTATAGACAGAAATAAAAGCTTCAGATCCACAACTTTCAAACTTTAGTATAGTTCTTGACAGATGTCCACCACATTGTAACTTGATTATATTGTGTTGTTTTAAAGTACTTTGGCAAATAAGATCTTACTTTGTCATCACAATATCCTCAGGACTTATGCAGGCTAATTTCTGTTATCCCTATATTGGGATGAGGAAATAGACATTTCACCAAATTGCCCAATTTGACCAAAGGTCAAAAAGTATGACTGTTGTATTAACAGGCAGAATATAAGAGCTGTATCCAGTGATCAAAGTCCAAAAAGGAGGTACAAGGGACCTGCCATATAGTATCAGCAGAATGTATCAGTGCCTGATGCAAGAAAACTTATTTAACACCTATATAGATGATTAGATAGATAGATAAATAGACAGATAAAAATGAAAATCATGAAGAAAAATAAGATGGTAGGAGTGGTGCCAGCTATGAGGTATACAAAATACCTGGAAGGGCAGAACCAAAAGAATGAATAGAGAAATAAAAACGTGGGCACCTGGGTGGCTCAGTTGGAAGCAACTGCCTTCGGCTCAGGTCATGGTCCTGGAGTCTCAGGATCGAGTCCCACATCAGGCTCCCTGCTCAGCAGGGAGTCTCCTTCTCCCCTTTAACCCTCCCTCCCTCATGCTCTCTCTCTCAAATAAATAAATAAATAAAGTCTTTTTTAAAAAGAGAGAGAAATAAAAAGGCAGAGATTAAGAACATCACTGATGAAAAGAGAGAAAACAACACAGAGGACAAGGGAAATCAGGGAGAGAAGTTCACAGAATCAAGTAATGGAGATAGAAATGGGCAAGTCAGGGAAGTGGCCAGAAAACTGAGAAATAAGGAGGAGAATGAGTTGTGGCCAGATAGAAAAAGTGACAGAGCACATCTTTGTTGGATATAAGGTGTAGTCATTGGAGTGGGTGTTTTCTCAATTGATCTGAATAGTGAATATAAATGGGCTTGACCACATCAAAGTGGTCCCTGTCTGTAGTCTGTCATTTTCTTATTTCTCTTCAGTATCCTCTTGTGAATTCAAAGCTCTTCGAGGAATAGAGGAAGAGAGTTAGAAGAGATGCCAACATTTAAGCATCTGATGGAGAAGCCAGTTATGATATTAATTATCTTTGTTTTCCTGTCTGCAAAGAGGGAAAGCTCTTCTTTCTTTAACTTACCTCTTCCCCAAAACATAGCACGTACATACACACACAGATGCACACACACACCCATACATAGACTTGTGCCCAGATTTGGACTGCTTTCAGAAGGTTTGAGAGAGCCAAAAGAGAAAGAAGAGCTGTGCTCCTGAACAGAGGGAGGTGACACTGAAGGGATAATGGAGGAGGAAGAATGAAAAAGATAGGCTGCGGTCTCCAATTGGGAAGACATCTGACTGAGTACACTTCAAGTTTTTTCAAGTGGACATGGAACCCAAATATCACCAGATTGGGGAGTTTTGTGGGGAAGAGTGCTGATTTTGCAAGATAACTCTCAAGAGTTGTACCAGAAACATGGTAATAAAGTCCATGACTGGCTGAGTCTTGCAATGTAGAAAAGCCCATAGAGAACTGGCAAAACTAATAATGGCCAACAGTGTGGTCAGTGTCAAAAGAGTAGGCCTTTGATTCATGAATGACAGTAGCAGTCTGTGAGATTAAGCTGAATATAGATAAAATATAAAGACAAAGATTGTAATTGTAGAAACAGCCAAAAGATCAAGAGAAGATTAGGAGAAACAGACGAGAAGCAAAAAGAAAATAGAAAAGAAAGTGACAGCAGAAAGAGGATTACTTCAATAATAAAACTAGACCCAGGGATAAAAGCATAGGAAAATAGATGGAAAGAAGTACACATATTAGGCTAATTAATGGAGAAGAGAATGAAGAGGCACACCGAGGACCATATAAAAAAAAGAGTTGAAAGATGATTGAAAAGTGGTGAGTGTAAAAGGAAGAGAAGCAAGATGGGGAAATTGTGGGCTCTGAAATGGTCAGGAGACAAAAGCAATGTTGGTGCAAGGAGTGCTTCACAATAGCAGTGAGTTTTCAGGGCAAGGTGTTCCCAGGTATCAGTGTCCCCTATAACTCACCCGGATTACAAGAAACATCATCTTGGCATCTCATCCACTCCTATGGTTTCAATCACCATCCACGACTTAATAGTACCTAAACATAACATATCCAGCCTAGCCCAGTCTAAGCAGTTAAGCTCATCCTTTATGCAGCTGAAGTCATCCATCCAATGGCAGAATGATCTCTGTCCGAGGTTCTGAAGCTCCTAGCCTTCACCACTTTAGGTGTCTTTCAAAACCTTCAAACTCGACATTTCCAAAACTGAGTACATCGTCTTCCTAAAACCAGCATCTGCTCCTCCAGTGTTCCGTTTCTAAAACACACTATTAATTTTCCCATTCTTTCAGGCTGAAATTCACGGAGTCATGCATGACACCGCTATCTCCTCAATTGATACACCACATCTATCACCTAACTCTATCAATTCTTCCTTTTTTAAATCTCCAACCTATCTCTTCTTCTCCATTCCCAGTGCTGACACTCTAGTCCATATCTGTATCATTGCTCACTTGAACTAGATATACAAGTTCCTGTTCTCCTTCTAATCTCCTTCTAATCTTGTTCCCACCAAATGTATTCTAAGTGATTTAGCTAAATTGATCTCTCAAAACTGTATCCCATGTCCTTTAACTTCCTTTAGGATTAAGTCAGTTCTCCTTCATGTGACCTCTAAAGCTACTTACCTCAGGGCTCTTGCCTCTTTTCTCCATCCCATCAATGCTCCTTATTCTTTCACTTCATGCTCAGATATACTAAACTCCTTGTGGTTACTTGTTTTTGCTGAATCTAGACCCTTGCACATGCTTCTTCATATTTCAGTATATTCAGTCATTTGTTTCTGTGTCAATTCTCTGGTGGCTCATAAGATTGACAAGCACTGATGCTTCAGTAGTCTTGTGTCTGAATTATTATCAGCACCCGTCTTATTATCTCAGCACCTGGCACCTGAAAGAGGCTTAGGAAACTCCTTGAGTAAGTGAAAAATACTGTTCACTTCCTGTATCCCAACATTTGGTAATTTGTCTGGCAAAAGTTACCTTATTATAGTATTTATACAGAATATTTACAGAATCTATTTTAATTCTATATATACATATACATAAATGAAAATAATATTTCTAGAAAAGAATAATATCACATAAAATAAATATAAAAGTATGTTAAAAATGTCATAAATGGATGGATAGGAAAAGTTATTAATGAAACTAGGTGAACAAAAATACATATTTGGGCAAAAAGAAAAGGATAAAAGAGAAAAAAAAATAGATTGAAAGGAAGGGTCAAAGACAACGGGGAACAAAGAAAGAGATTTCAGAGGTGGAGATATCCTTTAGTGGAGGGGTGGGGGAAGGGAGGATCTTTGTAAGAGAGGAGATGCAAATGAAGACTTTTTACAAATCATAATTTAGGAGCAGAGCCACAAGGACTTGGAAGTGCAAAGTGTTCCTGTGTCATGTGTTTTTCAGAAGGTATTTCAAGAGACCAAGGAGCAAGGACTGAGAGTAGCCAATCATCTGACATAATGGGTAAGGCTGCCTGAGGGTCTTGGGGTAGAGGTGGTTCTTCAGATACCACAGACCCTGAGTATATAGTTAATCAGAGATCGAGGACATCAGGCACCTCACCAATGGAATGGCCAGTTATGGAAGTGAAAGGTCACTGGGCCCTCGGCTGCAGGATGTCAGGAGTCTGAAATCAGAGCTTTTGTTTCCCGCTGCACTGGACTCCTAGCACACTTTGATAGGGAAGGGATACATCCATACCAGAATCCCATTCTCTGCATTTGCTTAACTTGAGCCTTTTGGGAGTGGCAGGGAGGCAAGAGATCCTTATAAAGTCATGTTAAACAAGGTGGGTCTTGTGGATTTACATGGATGATCTGGTAGAAATACACTGGTAAAAATGGCAGTATCTCATTTACTATATTAGTGAATCAATACTAAAGTATTGGATTTATACAGGGACATCCACCCCTGTCCCATTGAATGAAAAAATCCAAGAGTTCTTCAGCTGGTAGATAATAGTGTCACTTTGTCACAACCGTGAAAAAGCCTCAAAAGACAAATGGTCCTGTTTACCTGTCAGGAAACAAAGGCTCTAGATAACTATTCTTAAACAGCATATAGTTTTGAAGGATGCCCTCCAGACTGTTGACTGATACAGTGATTTCTCATTAGTTTTTATAAATAAGGTCTTATTTAATTGTCATAACAAATTTAAAGCCTGAACAGGATAACAGTTGTTATCCCTATTTCATGAACAAGGAAACTGATGTCCTTAAGAACTTAAGAGCCTTTTCAAAGTCCCAGAGAAATAAAGGAAGACTTTTGATATCAATTCAGTACCTATTTCCTTTAGAAGGAAGACAGAGAAATGATACTCAGATCATTATAAACTCAAGTCTTCCACAGTATAAATTGTCATAAGATTTATAACTTTTATTTATAAATTACAGTTATATGACCACCACCTGTTACTTTTTAGATACCGTGGATATTGGAAACAATTCTACTTCGGGAAAACACAATGAGAAAATAAGTAAGAATGAATAAGAATTTGCTTGATTTTTATGTTACAAATGAAGTGGTGTTTAATGCTAAAGCTTGTCATCATTTTTATACCTTTCATAAGAAAAAATGAATGTCTTTTAAAGTAACAATTTTTTTCCAAAATGGTTATATCTTCATGTTGCATTTTATTCTGATTTTAAAATATGTTTCTTATAAGCATTGGTCTATGTCTTCCCAGAATTTTTCTATGCATATATTAACTCAGTTTGCAATATATTTTTATATATCTTCATGTGGTAATTCTATACATACTTTTCCTTTTCTTACTTTTTAAAATTAATATATCATACCTAAGCAGTAAAAACATTCAACATTTTAATTGAACTATAAAAAGTCTTACTTGGTGCTTTCACATGTACTAGCCTTCATTTTGAGGGTGGTAGAGCATTTTTCATTTGTTATTGGTCATTCATTTTTCCTCTTTATTGAAGTATCTGTCATAGAGTGCTGTGTCAGTTTCCTGTTGTGGTGTTTGTCTTTTTCTTACATTGCTGAATGAATATAGAAAAGCTTATCTGATATATACATTAAATCTTTGTCATATATGTTGCTAATATATTGCCCCATTTGTTTTCCTTTTATTTATTTATTTTAATTTAAGATTATTTCTTTATTTTAGAGACAGAGAAAGCGTGAGTGGGTGTGGGGGGCAGAGGAAGAGGGAGAGAGAGAATCCCAAGCAGACTCCTTGCTGAGCATGGAGCCCTACTGGGGGTTCGATCTGACCACCCTAAGATCATGAGCCATGCCGAAATCGTGAGTCAGGTGCTTAACTGACTGAGCCACCCAGGTGTCTGTTGTTTTCCTCTTGGGTTTTGTTAATGGACTCTTTTGTCCTAGAGACGTTATAAATTTTTAGGTACTCAAATTTGTCAGCTTTTTTCTCTCTGGCTCTTGGGTTTCCCATCATTTTTATAATAGCCATTTCTAGCTGAAGACTTAAAAAAAATCTCATCTTTGATTCTAGAATCAAATGTTTGAAGCATCTGGTCATTTTTAATGTTTATGTCTATAATTCCATGGGTTTTGCCTCTTTGTTTTTATGTGAGGTTGGAATTTCAAAAATACTACCCACACTACTACATTGTGATTGAACCGCCACTTTAATCACACAATGCCTTTGCCTGTCTATATACTAGATTTTCTCTTGCAAGCAAAGGGGCTGCAGAAAAGAAGAAAGATCTCAAAGGTAGCACAATCCTGATGACTCACTGGGGGTGAATATTAGAATCAAATTCAAAAGACCCCCTCTTCACCTCCTTCCCAAATCCACTGGAATCCCTAATTAGATACGCACTGAATGTTATATGTAAGTGATGAGCCACTGAATTCTACACCTGAAACCAGTTTTACCATATGTGATAACTAACTAGAATTTAAACAAAAACTCAAAAAAAAAAAAAAGGAAGAAATGCACTGAAAATGCAGATTGATTTTGGGAGAACAGAGACTTTTAGCCACTTTTTCACATCTTATTTAATGTTCTTCCAATAAGAATTTTCTTACACTTTTAAAAAATTCTTACATGGTGTACAACTTTATTATTATGAATATCCTTTTTTCCCCATTACATAATACCTGAATTTAAATGAGACAAGGCTCTCAAAAGTCTTTATTTAAGTAGGAAATCTGTGGTCATTTTATTACCTACTTGCATGTGAGGAACTCAGAATGCCAAGGATTTTTTTCTAATTTAATATAAAATCTTAAAAGCATTTATATAGTTTAGGGATCCAGATATCAGTTAAAATATGATAGCCAGTATGGAATTGTTGAATCACTATTTTGTACACCTGAAATTGGTATAACACTGTATGTTAACTACATGGGAATTAAAATTTTAAAAATTTTGATGGCCAGGCCCAAGAATTATCAAGACAGCCAATCGGAATTAAGGTTTCTTTGGAACTGGTTTGATGAGAAGTGGTAATTTCTAATTTGGGCGAATATTACAAGACCCATTCAAATTAACTCTCCCAAGGACAAATTTTTATTAACAGAGAAAAGAACAAATTGGTAATGGTTATGAATAGACATATCTCCATATTTTACCAGAGAATAAGACTTACTTTTTAATAAAAATTCTCAATTTAATGCTTTGTTAAATCATATTCTTCATATTAGTTTATGGTGCACAATGCTCTCTCTCCTTCCATAGCTATAGGCTGAGGAGAAATTTCCCTCCATCTCTTTCTGTAATAAAGGCTTTTATTTATTTATTTGAGAGAGAGAGCCTGAGAAAGAGCACAAGTGAGGGAGAGGGAGAAGGAGAGAGAGAGGGAGAAGCAGACTCCCTGCTGAGCAGGAAGCCTGACTCAGGGCTCCATCCCAGAACCCCAGGATCATGACCTGAGCAGAAAGCAGATGCTTAACCAACCGAGCCACACAGGCACCTGTACTTGTTAGTTATAAAGACTTATATTTTTCAAATCTGACTACTGGATTTTGTTAGAAAACCATATAAGAAATGCAAGCCCATAGAGTTCAGAAATAGTTACTTGGCAGAAAATAGAGAGAGGCATGAAAAGAATTTCACCTAAAAACAGTAATACAGGTACATAGAGATTTTTTTTCTCCTATGGCTTCTTCTCTTATTTCTTAAACCAGAATCAGCTTGAGATCCCCTGTGTTTTTTATTTTCAGATTTCCTTTCTTGTCTTCACCTAAATACATGATGTGAATGATTTGTTCAGTATTTAGCTGATGATGTTTATGATACCTTTTTAATATTTATTTATTTTAGAGAGAGAGAGAACACAAGTGGGGGAAGGGCAGGTGGAGAGGGAGGAGCAGGCTCCCTGCTAAGCAGGGAGCCCAAGGCGGAGCTGGATCTCAGGACCCTGGGATCCTGACCTGAGCAGGAGGCAGACGTTTAACTTACTGGGCCACCCAGGCCCTCCAATGATACCTTTTCTTAAAAGAATACATCTTAATAATATTATATACACATTATTACATATAGGCTAAGTATTATAATTGGCATCATTAAGATACTTTGTTTTTTTTTCTTTTATCTCCAAATACTGACAACCCTTCTTTATCCACGTTCCATTTACCAGAACTCATCCTCATGAGCTTCATCATACTTGCCTTTTTCTCTGCTCTGTTTACCCACTGCACCTCCCAACCCGTCCACAACTTCTCTTTCCTTTTAAATCAGACCACATCTACATTGACAACCACCAAAACTCAGTCTCCCTTCAAAGTACTGATTTTGGGCGAAGATGCACAGCCTTCAAAACTGTCTATGATAGCTGATTGGACTAGCATGAGGAGTTCGGCAGAATGGAAGAAAGAGCCAGATTTGGGGGTGATAGGAATATCCCCCGAAAGAGGGGTGTGGAAGGCTTCAGTAGAGCGGTCAAGAATTTTGAAAGACTGGACAAGCTCGTGCTCATGCTAAAGACTGGGTAGAACCTTGTTGGCTGCAGATGAATTCCCCATAGCTCAGCCTGAGGTATACAGCAGACAATTCACAGTGACCCCTACTGATGGGGTCAGAGCTCTGATGAACCCAGAGCTCCCTTTCTTTTTTAAGCTCGAAGTTTCACCAGGAAGCAGAGTCAAGGATCTCATTTGCAGCATGGCTTAAGGTAGAATCACAACACTCGGTCCCAGTGACACTTATGCTTATTCACATAGCCCCACAATGCAGAAATCTTGAGTTTTAAATGCAAGGTGAGAGGCTCCATATTTGCCTATGATAATGAAACAGAGAAGGGCTAATTCTGCAAGGTTAGTCCATTGTTGTACCCCAAATATTTAGCATGTTTTCCTCCTTTAGCTGTCTTTGCCCCAGGTCCAATATACTAGCGTCACAGAAATTCCTTCTTCCTGCTACATGGCAGGTGAGAAAAAACTGTGCATTAGAAACAGTTAAGCCTTTACATATTGATGCATCCAAGAATATTTTGGGTGAGTAATTTAAATGAATAAATTAATTCTTTTTGTGAAAAATGGAATCCACGTATATAATTGTACAAAATACGTACTTAAAGCAAAAAAAAGAAAGCACAATAAAATAAAGGGAGGGATAAAGAAATATCAGAAAACTACAAATTACAAATTGGCATGTGGATTATTGTTTTTTTTTTTTTTAAGAGAGAGAAAGCACACATGCATGCATGGGGGGGGGGGGGGGGGGGGGGGGGGGGGGGGGGGGTGCTGAGAAGCAGGCTCCCTGCTGAGCAGAGAGCCCGATGCAGGGCTTGATCCCAGGACCCCGGGATCATGACCTGAGCCAAAGACAGAGGATTTAACCCACTGAGCCACCCAGGTGCCCCAGAAGAGAGGGAATCTTAAGCAGGTTCCATGCTAAGCTTGATCTCACAACCCTGATATCATGACCTGAGCCTAAATCAAGAGTTGGAGGCTTAACTGACTGAGCCACACAGGCACCCTAGTCCCTTTCTTTGAAGTTTTGTGATTTTTGATTGTTGACTCTTTGTTATGGATAGAAATGTTGTAATCAATGTTGTTGGTTAATGAGGGTTCTCTGTAGATCCCATTATGAAGGTGAGGCTACCTCTGGACTACATGTTCTCAGGAGGACTATAAAGATTGACCATAGCTGGGTGAACCTCCTGGCCTCACAGGAGAGGCAGGGGGAGGCAGCATGTGTGGAAAGCAGTGGTGGAAGGGGAAGCAGACCTCTTCCCAGGAGCCTGGGCCTGAAGGGTTGTGAAGGAATCTGTCCCTGACAAACTGGTTTCTCTAGCCAAGAGGATGGAGCTAGTGTGGCTTGTCTGAGGGTGGCCTGCAGTGATCACCTGATAATGGCCTTTCTTTTTTTTTTTTAACTTTTTTTCATTTTTCCAGTGTTCCAAGATTCATTGTATATGCACCACACTCAGTGCTCCATGCAATCCGTGCCCTCCTTAATATCCACCACCAGTCTCATCCTACCCCCAGCCCTCTCCCCTCTGGGATCTTCAGTTTGTTTCTCAGAGTCCACAGTCTCTCATGGTT